GTAGTAGGTCTACCTCGTACATACCGTAAGCATGATTCAATTTGGGTTATTGTAGATCGACTAACAAAGTCCGCGCATTTCCTACCAGTAAAGACGACAGATTTCGCAGAGCAGTATGCGCAGTTCTACATCAAAGAAATAGTCTGATTACATGGTACTCCAGTTTCAATCATATTTGACAGAGGCCCTCAGTTCACGGCGCATTTTTGGCAAGCATTTCAGAAAAGATTAGGTACCAAGGTCAATTTGAGCACCGCTTTCCATCCACAGACCGATGGTCAGGCAGAAAGGACCATTCAAACTCTCGAAGATATGTTGCGAGCATGTGTTATAGATTTTGGAGGTAATTGGGATGATCATTTGCCACTTATAGAATTTGTTTACAATAACAGCTATCAAGTCAGCATTGGTATGGCTCCGTATGAAGCACTGTGTGGGCGAAGATGTACGTCTCCAGTGGGTTGGTTTGAACTAGCAGAGGTGCCATTGATTGGTCCAGAGTTTGTTTGTGAGGCCTTAGAGAAAGTCCAGCTAATCAGAGAAAGACTGAAAGCGGCTCAGAGTCGTCAAAAGTCCTATTCTGACAAGAGGCATCGTGACTTAGAGTTCATGGTTGGTGACAAGGTGTTTTTGAAAGTTTTACCAATGAAAGGAGTTATGAGGTTTGGTAAGAAAGGAAAACTTAGTCCTAGATTTGTTGGACCTTATGAGATTATAGAAAAGAAGAGAAACGTGGCTTATGAGCTAGCGTTGCTCGTTGAGTTATCTTCTATTCATCCTGTCTTTCATGTGTCTATGCTTAGAAAATACATTCATGATGAGTCGCATATAATACCTGCCGACGCCATAGAAATTAAAGAAGACTTGACTTATGAAGAGGTACCTATAGAAATTCTCGATAGGCAAGTAAGAAAGTTGAGATCAAAAGATATAGCATCGGTAAAAGTTTTGTGAAATAATCATGATTCAAAAGAGGCTGTGTGGGAAGTCGAGTAAGATAAGAGGAAGAAGTATCCTTATTTATTTGAGGAACAAGGTATGTGAACCTAGGTTTGGCTTGGCATTTATATTTCATTTATTAAATACAAGTTAGCATGTGTTTATGTCCTTGCTAGATTATACTTAGTTGTTGAAGTAATTTAGTTTCTATCAGAGTATATTTAATTATTTAATAGTTTATTACCATGCCAGAGTATATTTAATTCATTAAAGGTATTTACTTTTTGTAGAAGTGTTGTGCTTTAGATTTTGGTTGGTTATTGTGGTACCTCCTTGCCGGAGTGTGAGTAATTAGTTTATGAGCTGTGTATGGTGCCTATGGATGGCCTGTTATGGTATATTTGGTTGCTGTTAGTGTAGTTGTGGTATTGGTGACAAGAATTTTTTTTGGATAGTCCAATTTACAGGGGAGACTCTGCCGCAATTTTTGAAAATTTAGGGAGTTAGCCAAAATTTTGAGTCCCTTGGGAAAGTTAGTAGTGCTAAGAAAACTTAAGAAGTTCAAGGACTTAAGGAATGATTATTAGCTTAAGAATAAGGCCCTAGCAACATTCGAGGACGAATGTTTTTAAGGAGGGAAGATTATAACACTCCTCAAATCAATAAAAGTTTCAAGATACGCTCAATATAGAATTTAATTTTTTTTCCTTAAATTATACTTCGATTACGGATTTAAGCCCTTGTGATTGATTTTGAGTTACTTCTATATTTATAAATAAGTGGATATACAATTAGAAAATATTAATAATTTTAATATTATTAATAATTAAAAATGGGTATCATTAATTATTAGTTAGTAAAAAAAACTAAACAAAGCAAAAAAGGAACAAATAAGCAAAAAGGGTAAGGTGAACGAATACCTAAAGACCCTTAACGCCCATAAAAGGGTAGTTGTAAAGCGTAAGGCAGGCTTAAAGCCTTAAGCTTGAACGAAAAGGGGGGGTTAGGGAAAAATCCCAAACAAAACTTCTGAAAGAACAGAAGCACGTCCTAGTGAAATACTTCATGCAAGCAAGAAAAATTCTAGGTTTCTTTACAAATCACTAATTCTTAAACTTAGGTATATAAAATTTCCTATTCTCAATTATCCTCAGATAAGCATTGGGTAGTTAATTCCCTTCTTCCTCTATATCAACAATAAATTCGATGTTTAGGTGTGAAACTTTGAAATTAATTAAAATGCACTGGTTGTTGTAGAATCAATTATTTGACGGGTATAAATTGGACTGGGGTCTACGTATTGGCTCGAGGAGTTTTGAGGTGAGTTGATATAACCCTTTACTAAAGCGGTTTAACTCACAAAGGTACGCATACAAGATGTTTGATTAATTGCTTAAAAGAGTTAATGTGTACTTAATTGGAGCTAATGAGCACGTATTAACTTAGAATTGATCTAGCTAAAGTTTAGATGATTTATTATGATATATGTGCATAAATTTTCAGATTTTTGTGTTATTCTTATATGCCATTTTCATGTTGAAAATTCATGAAGAAACAAGAATCTTTAGAAATACTTTTGAACGTTATTTCATTCTTATGCCATGCTTTACATTTAAGGATACCAGTATGAGTATGTATAGGATGTTCCAGAAAAGATTTGGATTTGAAAAGTCACAAGAAGCAGTTTTAGAAAGAAAAGATTTTTGGGAGTATCCTCTATTCTGAGAAGGGGTCATCGTCCTGGCCGAGGGTCCTGACAAAGGCGTTGGCTTCCTGAAACTACTTGTGCAAAAATAGGGAGCACACGAGCCAAGGGTCTCGTTGCTGAGAATTTAATTAGCCAGGCTAAGGTATGATACATGAGCGCTGAGAACCATGAAGCGAGTGGCACCTCGTGGATTGGGCCTATTCGATCAGGTTGGGATCGAGCCCGTGCCGATCATACAGTGACTAAGATAGAAATAAATCAGGATAGTTGGAACTCCCGAAGTATAAAGTGAAGTATTTTTTTTTAAAAGAAAGAAAAAGAAAAGAATTTCTTTTAGAATATTCATAAACTGCTATTATGCAATTATTTTAGAATTTTTCTTATAAGCTTTATGTTTTACGTGCATTTAGAATCTTTGCTCGTAATATATATGTTATTAAAGTTCGTCCCCTGTCGTTGAGACTCACTGAGTACAATGGATGGTACTGACGTTCTCTTTTGGGAACCTACGTTGGTCTGCGGTACTACGTAGGAACCGATTTTGCAGGCGAGCATGCTACGGGTTAGGACTTTCCTCACTTCCAGTACTATTAGTGAGCTCCGCTTTTGTTCGTGGAGTACTCCATTGAGTCGTCATTATTTAGCTATTTCTTTGTTTACTTAGAGAACTGGCCAGGAAATCTCATGTCCTGAGCAGTGCGTCAGTTTATCAGTAGAGGCTTCATAGACACAGTCGGTGGGTTAAGATTCAGATGTTTGCGATAATAACTTAGCAGTATTTTATTGGTTACTACGAATAAAGTTTTGAAGTTGGCTTATTTTACATATTTAAATTAATTAAAAGTATTTGGCTACAGTAGTGCCTTGTGGCATATAAAGTTTGAAGTTATAATAAATTTGATAAGCGCAGATGGTTCGCTTGGTCGTGTTTAGTGACTGGATACCGGTCCCGGCTGGTTCAGAAAATGGGTTATGACAACTTTCCTATCCGAGTAGCTTTAATTTACCTCCAAGTTTTATCAATATTTAGGCATGCAACCAAAAAATAAAATTAGTATACAATAAATACCAAAAAATAATGATTATATGTTTCGATAGACGTCACTCTATCTAAGTCCTAAGAGAATGAATTTGCAGCCTAATTGTTGCGGTTCAAATCCCACCAAGGGATTTCCAATCTTCGTCTCTGTCACTTCTCTTGGAAATTTCCAAATGAAACGGAATAATTTTGCCACTTAAAAGATATTCAGCAATTGCTATATAGGAGAAGTCAGGCGAAACAGGCTGAGTATTTGAATTCATTAACTTTTAGTCTGGTAGTCGTAACAAACTAGCCAGTACCATCCGTTTTTATACTACTCCAGGACAACTTATAACGTTAAAAGCTTGTCACGCCACGACCTTGGAAAGCGCAACTGGCGTCCGTTCGAAATACCCTAGTCAAGCAAGCCTATTTGATGCCTTCGACCCAACCTTGCCCATGAATAACGTGTAGATAGATTTAAGAGTTAGACACCAAGGAAATAATATGTACAACAGCAATTTCATTACCATTAGGAACTTCATTTTTCGATTTTCAAAATATTACAAGTTCATAGTTAAAAGTGTCCGAAACCAGAAATCTGACTTTAGTAGGATTTTGACTAGAAATACAATTTCGACAGGAATTAAGGATCTAACAAGAATTATCTCCTAAATTGATCACACTTTAATTTGGTTTAATTCCTATAGATATCTCTTATTCCTGGCCGTTCCTTCACTTCACACCCCTCCTACTAGGTACACTTCGGACACTATTTTCTTTTGCCAATCTTGGACTTTATAAGTGTTAGATCTGCTTGCTACTTCAATCTCACGGAATGAAATACTTTTAAAATTTTTGAGTGTGATTAAACCGATTCAAATAAGATCTCATTAGTTGATTATTATAAATGCGAGTTGGTAGCGTGATCTTCTGCAATCCTTTTAATTTGTTATCATTCAATCCCCTGCCTTTTTGTGAAGTCATCCTTCTATTAGAAAATAACGTTACGTTGGGTGGACTTTGTCCTTTTGAACATGTTACATCAAGTATACCCAATCCCTTATTTTTAACTTTTTCCGAAAAGCACTCTACTAGAGCCTGTTTGGACATAAAACTTTTTCCCTTTTTCGAAATCAGTGATTGTTCATGAAATTTCAATGGGCAAAAAGTTGGGAAGCCGATTGGCTGTTAGAAGATAATGTTGGGATGATTTTCATCAATCAGGCCTTGTGTTTTCTCACACATTCTTCTCTCAATGTTGTGACTACCAAATTTATTGTACACATCTAAGTTAAGAAGTCAAGTTAATGCTTCTAAAAGGATAGCATATCTTGTTAAACCTATACTCATATCGAATATCCAAAAGTTGCTTTCTACAATGTCATAGAGCAAAGTAACCCTACTAAGTAGCATTTGTTTATTACAAGACACAAATCAGGCAAGCGAAGTGTTCAAAGTGGACAGGCCCAAATTAGATACAAACAGAAAGGCCCAAAACTAACCACGAAACAGGCCAGCAATTGTGTACAGCATAGTGGAACCGATAGAAAGCAAACTCCAGCCCAAGTTCTGTGCAGATTTTACAGCGCGTGAACGACAGTAATTATGACCGTACCAAGTGTCACTAGGGATGCCAACATTGTAGGTGAAGGTGACAGCTTTGGTGTGGTAGCCGTAGATGGTAACATCATACGGTATCCACCCATCGTATCCACTCCTGTACAGGTACGCATAACAGATCTGATACGTACATGGACCGTATACTGTGTATGTATCCCTCGAACACCGCTCAAAAGCCCTGCTTGACGGATCATCTAACCTCGGTGCATAAACCTGAAAAAATGGGATTGAACAATAAAATTAAACAATACTAATATCGCGCGACTCAATAAGCTGAGCTTAAACCTATACGAAAAGTGGTTTACCTGATTTCCATAAGCATCACCAAAGGATAGACTAATTTGGTCTCTGGTGAATGCGGGAGAAGAGCAGCTTGTCCTTATGCTCACCGTAAATGAACAGCGGGCATTCTGCGCATATGATATTCAGATTAATTTGAAAACCCAACTGTTTAGTAATCGATGTTCGGACATAATAATGGGCATTTGTACTTTACCTTATATTTCAGATAGCTAACCCCAACAAGTTTGGGGTGAAGGATAGATGGTTAATTGATTGAATTTATATTTTCTGCACAACCATTTGATAAAACGGAAAAAAAAAGAACAAGAAATGAATAAATGGTACCTGGTTCGAAGTGGTGTTGATTACGTCGAGGGATGATAAAGGCTGGGGCAAAAACACGATGGATCTTAATGCTTGAGCACCGGAAGTGATGGACGCGACGGTGATAACGAGAAGAAAAAGTAGCGCCGGTCCTCTGATCATGGCTGGTGACATCTTGAACCCTGTTTTGGACTTCTATGGTGCTGAAGTTAAACTAAGTTTTTGGAATATAATGGCAATCGGCGATTACTAATTTGTGGCAAACTTGGAATAGTACACGAGTACAGTTGAGGGTAATAAGGAAAGGGTATATTCGTCTTTCGGCCCCTTGTGAGGGTGAAAATGAAGGGATGAAACGTTAGGTGAAACAGATGGTCAGGATTACAAAATGGTAAAAACGTGGTTGACGTGCAGGAGCTAGTGCACAGGGAAGAATCGGATTATCCTCAAGAGTCTAGACTTAGTATTGGATTTATTCGCGGGCGGCATGTATCTTAGTGACCAAGTATAGTGATATTCTAGTCTATCCAATTAAATTATTCGATGATGTGATTTAATATCTGATAGGGATGGTTGGTTTGGTGGCTGGACCTGCGAGTTTCTCATGTCAATGTTTTGAGTCTAAGTAGCTGCTATCTTACTCCTTTCTCCAATTTCCTCAAAGATAATTTTCTATTGAGAAGAAATACAAAATACATTTGAAAAAGAATAAAAAAGAAATAAATAATAGTCCCTTTCTTGAGTTTACTTCCTCGTTTAGAATTCACCCTAGGAATTATGAGCTGATATGCTTTAGTTTAATCATTTTTGAGAAATCTCTGATTGGACGCAACTAAGATTAGTTGACTAAGTTCCCATACCATCCTGTGTCAAATGTCAATGAGCATATAGGCAAGCAGCTTCATGATTTAAAAATTTAAAGAGGAAACGTAAGGTTAGGAAAAAAAAATAGACAGGTCAATCGAGTGGTATATTGAAAAATTCAGAAGGCTACCGATTAAAAAAGTTTCGAAGGCTAAGGTATTGTCGTGGCTTGCATTCCTTCTAATCTACATCGTTCCAGCTTGATTAATGCAACCCAGAGGTTTGGCTGGGTCGCCTGTGGTAAATTCCAACAAGCAATCTTTCCTTGAAAAGGCCATACATTTGTATTCTACAATTGCCTTTTGGTGTGGAACTGGATATTATTAGGGCCTTAGGGGTGGCTTTAAGGATCGTAAAGAACATACCCAATTCAGAGGTCCAAAACCATATTCCATTCAATTGAAAGTGCACTATAAGGATACAATCCCAAAAAGAACCAACATGTCAAAAGATTTAGAGAAGGAAAAAAAATCCATCCCTTCTCCACTCGTGAAACGAAAATAGTCCTCCACAATTAGAAAGCAGCATGTGGAATGATTTTCTTATCAGGCCAAGAAATAAGCCATGTTAAAGCGTTAATGCAAATAAAATAGCTGACAGACTATCCAAAAGAGAGAGGAAGATATAAAACATGCATCAAACCTATACTCTTGATTCAGGAGCTTTGCCTAAACAAGAGACGGTGGGAAATCTTCATCAGAACTCTGTTGGTGGTTTCAACCTAACAAGTCTCTTGATTCTATCTTTGTCAATGTTTTCCAGCAACCCCTTCAAAATAAAACAGTGAAACAATAGCATTAGCCAGACGACACCAAACTGAAGACAACATACATTGAGCTAACAGCCAAACCAAATACTTGGTTCTCTTTGTTATCATATTGGACTGAAAGGGTTCATCAATTGAGACAATCGGTTTGAGCTAACAGCCAAACCGAATACTTGGTTCTCTTTGCTATCATATAGGACTGAAAGGATACATCAATTGAGACAATCATTTTGAGTAAACCTAAAGCATGATTTAGCAAAATCCCTAGCTGGTATAAACAGTGTGACCTGATGGATGCAGTAAATCTAAGCCATCTAGCATTGGATAAAAAAGTATGTGGTTTTGCATCAAATAGGTACAATTTGAAATACGCTTAAGAGTATTCATAACCACTCTATGCCTCTCCAAATAGAATCACACCATAAACTTGAGAAGATGAGAGCTTCATTTATGTGAAATTATTTATGTTCCAACGCAAAAACATTTTGGCTTACCGTCCACACAATTTCATCCAGAACCAGGCAAATCTTTCCATACTTGTCCAGGAAGGATCTCTCTGTTGGAGGTTTTCCACAAACATCCTTGATAGCAGATGTTATTACAAAGATGGCTTCAGACACTGCAAATAAAGCCAATGAGATTCCATAAAAAGGAGTGGAAGGACAATTTTGATGATGCTATAAGTGTAGAACAATCACCCCCAATAAATGGAATAGGTACCCTCTGCGACTACAGATAATCGCTGCAGGACAAGAGCCACGCAGCTTAAAGAAAGACAACACAGCCTCGCTGATGGCAATTTCCATGACATTGCCTTTTTTCGTAATCCCCAAAATGGAAGCTGCAATGCAATTTTCCATCTAACCTACTGTGGTAGCATTAGTAGTTGACTTCCTCCTCTAGAGTTCATAACACCTCAAAAGAAAAGTAAGCTCAATTATGTGATCTACACTAAATTATCGAAGGACTTCATATTGGATGGACCCCAAAATGCAATTACGTACTCAACCTAAAAGTAAGCTGCACCAGTGGTAGGCTTCCTTTTAAATTTTGACCACATAATACTTGATATTAAGAAAATTCAATCATTTATCTTTACACTCTTGTTGAGTAACTCCAATATTTGATAGTCGAAACAATGGTAGGAAAAACTATTTAGCAAGTTGAGCCTTTTTTTCATTTATTTTTTCAAAAAGCGATGTTCAGACCAACTTGTGTGCACCTCAACTACCAGATATCTGCTACCTCCCACGAGCACAAATACTGCATAACTATGCATGGCTTAGGAAAATAGGAATAAACTACTCAATTTTTGTCTCTGCTGAAATTTTAACTCGATCTTCCACAGTCTTCATCACTTTTCATTGACTGATAAGTGACACCTTTAAGTACTTAGGGGTCGTTTGATACAATGGTGGAATAAACCACGATATCCGATGGGGCGGGATATCCCATAGGATAAGCTATCCCACCTTCTATATGGATAGCTAATCCCACCATTTTAGTATAAAACTTATTCCGGGATTAGTTAATACCTATTACCAAAGATGGAATTAATACAATCCCAAATTTTATCCCCGAATTATTATCCTTATCTATTGTACCAAACAACTCAGTAAGTTGAGTTATATTTGGAGATTTTTCTTTTTATGCATAATAAAAGAAAGAATGATATACTCAACCACTAATATCAACATCCCAAATCATGAAGTTATCAAAGTTTGGAACATACAAGGTCAGAACTGGTTTGCCTCAAGGTTCGCAAAGGCATTAGCCTCCACATAATTAAGGTCAGAACTGGTTTGCCTTCTTTCAACTCAACTACCTAAATCAATTGCCAAAAGCATACTTTGAGCTACGTGGAGACAGAATAACTAGCATATTTAAATAAAGTTTGTACATAAATGAGACAAAGACAACACAGTTTGCAGTTTCTTTTAGCATAAATTAATTGCTGACGAGGCCTTAAACAACTGTACCATGCATATCTTTTGTTGAAACATTAAAGTTAATGACTCAGACTTACAGGCAAGTTCATCATACTCATCCTTTCCTACAATATATATGCTGACATCTCCAAGTACCGTGTATACAATGTAAACAGACCTGCAGAGGAAAAATATGTCAAAAGACTATAGATAGAACATTTGTCATTAACAGTCCTAATTACTAGTAAACCACCCTTTACTACAAAATCTTTTGCTAAAAGGAGGGTGAGTTCTTCTGAACTCAATTCCAAACACTACAGATATAAAGGAGGAAGCTTGGGAAGCAAGCATCTTGCCTGTCAGCACAGAGTTCCTCTCTGTGTCACCCTCCCTCCCCACATCTCCAACCAACAACTGTTTTTAGCTATATGTTATTGACATTGGTCAGGAATGTGGACCACCAAATAACCAGATAACAAATTTACATACTTGTGGCAAGCCACTAGGAGTTCTTCGTTCTTGACCCCTTTAAGATTCTCTGCACCCAGCTTAACTAAAAAAGACCTCCAATGCAGACGCTCCTCTGCTGGTACTCCATTAAAACTGCAAATGAAGATGTATTAGTGGTAATTCCTGCCCGGAAAAGAAAACTGAAGAAGCTGTGTCTGAAAGAAAAGTAAAGGCATCTTCTTGCTGGTGAGACTTCGATTGAAGAAAAAATAGCATCTTTATTTTATTGGCAGAAAGTATCCATAAAGAAGAAAGAAGAATGTGCACTGTCTTGTATGTAATTTTTTATGAAGGTGGTGTCCGGGCCCGCTCGCACACACCTCAATTGTTCCACAGGGTACTTACTATCTCCCATGGATAACTCTGCCCACCAAGGCTTAGGCAGATGAGAAGAAACCACCTAGTATTTTTTGCGTGCACTGGGATTTGAACCTGAGATCTCATGGTTATTCTCCCAATTCATTGACCAATAGGTCACACCCTTGGGTGCACTATGTTGTATGTATACTGATGATATTAACCCCAAATGCGATACACATGGAAAAGATAGTCTCAAAATTTTAGCCCATGATCAAATGTTCTGGGTTCCAAATATTTAGACACAGTTTTACGGAAACGGTAAGATAGATAGATTTAATACATAGTTCTAAGGATAGTTGAAATAGGAGAGCTACATTAATATTATGCAATAGGAGGACAACTATTAAAGTGATAGTCTCTTTTATAAAATCATAAGACCAGTAATTTTATATGAGAGTGACACAACACGAGTATCAAATGCAAATATTAGGATGATTATGCGATTATACAAGATTAGATAATATCATAATGAGTACGATCAATAGAAGGACAAGCAGCACACATAGGGATAACGAGAGAAGGTTGTTAAAGATGGTTTGCTCATGCCTTGTGAAGACCTACAAATGTATGAGTCAGAAGGTATGACAAATGACAATAGAAGGTGTTAAAAAGGGGATGGGTATACCTAAAACTAAATACAACGAAGTTGTTTCAAAAGATCTACAATCTCAAGGAAATTGGAACCCATACAAACTTGGCAAATAACAGAACACAATGGAAAAGGCAATACTAGGCGATCTAGACAATACTAGCTAGTTGGGATAAGGTTTAGTCAATGTATGTATATTTACATCAGATACAGTGTTTGCTGAGATCTTTTTAGCCTATTTGAAGATCTGTATGTCAATAGAAAATGCAAAGAACCTCTAGGCTCTAGTATCATAGAATTCTAAATCGTGGATTATCGGAATGTAACAAGTCCAACTGGAGTAAAATGGATGTTGAGAATTCATATAACCGACCACAGCTAACTAATGATTGAGGCATAGTAGTAGAATTAGTTGTTGTTAAACAAATCCCACCCCTGGGAGTGATGGAGCAATACCAAATTCAGTTGAATGTAGCTAAGTAATCAACATTTAAAGACGAGCACTATAAATATGAAAATACAAGTAAAAGTACCTAGAGATAGAACGCAGACATTGTTGATACCACAAAATAGAAAAGCCTTATGAGACTAACCACATGTCAGCACATCTTATTAGACGGATACCATAAGGAATCTATAAGATAAAGCAGCGATTTAAACAGGAAATTCTCAAGTATTCATTTACGTGGAGAAAACAGAATCTTAGCAGTGCGTTACCGTTCGACGAGGATGTTGCCCTCGGAGTTGGCAAACAAGACAGCCAAAAGCATTTTCTAACCCTTTTCCGATGCGATTGTTGCTGATCTGATCGGCGAAGTCGGATCAGAAATCGCGTTGTTGGTCGCTGAAGAATTAGTTTGACTGGTAATTGTATTCTGACCCCTGTCTTCCCGAATATTTCTTGTCCTTTCTTTTTATTTTCTTTTCATTTTCCTTTTACCGGAGAATTGTGCCTCATTACCACTTACCACTTTTCTTTTTTGTTTTTCTTTTTTTTTTTTTTTGCTTAATCGAACTTTCGGAATATTTCATTGGCCGCTCTGCTATTTGACGTCCTTTCAGCGAACATTTGCCAAATGTAATACTTTCGCTTTTCTTTAACTTTTTGACTTTTAAAAAATAGTATGATTGACTTTTTTTTTAATTTTTATAAATAGTATGATTGTTTCATAAATAGTGAAGAGATTGAAGATTATAATTGAAGAAATTTTAAGTGATATTAGCAACCATATTATGTAATTCACGGAACATCTCATGCAATAAGGAATATAGCTTCGCGGGAATATTTTTGGTTTTTTTTTACTTGATTTCTAGCTAGTTTTTTTGATGTTTTTCTCCGTTTCGATATATAAAAAAAAAAGAGGCTCTTAGGCACCGAGCAACTCGAAATGAGACTACCATCATATGGCTATGAGATCCCAAAGTAATTGACGTGTTAAAATTATCTTCACCACTGCAAATAGGTTTGATAATTGCTCCTGGCAATACTTTGACACTTGGTTAGGCAAAATTTTCGCGGGGCAGTTTATTTGCACATGGCCATTTAACACGGAAAGCATTAAAACGTCCTTGCTTTCTTGGAAGGACAATTTGCCATGTTTCTTGGTTACAACTATTTTAGATTTTTTCCCTTTAAAGCCTTCAGTTAGTTTGAGTGTCCGTATGGATTACTAAAGAACTTGATTTTTTATTGTGTTCCTTAAGCGTAAAGTAAACAAGTAATAAAATGAACACATCAATTTTTACGTGGAAAATCACCCTGCTCAAAAGGTGCAAAAACCACGACCTACCACATAGGATTTTCAACTCCAACTCCACTAAAATAATTAGACAAAATATATCAATTACAAGACTATAATTAAATACTTTCCAGTACTCCTACTACTCCTGTTTGATTCACAAGTTACTCTAACTTGTAAAGCAAAATACTCACTCCAACTCACTAATTGTTTATAACACCTGATTACAACTCAATTTCCTAAAATGCATTCACTAGACTGACTCAGGAAGAATACAAGACAAGTACTCAACACAAGTAAACGACTTATGACTCTTTAGTTGATGTGTAAAAGGATAGTTCAGAAGTCCAAAGTCGATCCTATTTAAAACACAACTTGAGATCTTTTAGGAGTCCTGTTCATAGTCAGCTTCATATGACTCTTACTGTTCCAAGGATTCCACAAGCTTTGTGACTTTTGTCTCTGACTGAATTCTTCGTATCTTCTTGAGCAACGACCCTTATCACTTATAGCATCCTTCTACCACCAAACTCGGGCCTGAATAACTTTGAGATAAAGTTACTGCCTTGTACAGACGTACAAGTATCAATCATGAGGAGCTGATTCTTTCTCCTGAGGAGCTGGTTCTTCAGAACGGTTAAGCAGCTACGTTGAGGACCTGGTTTTTTGAACATTTAGTCATACTTTTTTAATCATCAAAACTTCAATACTCAAATTCCTCCTTTTTGATGATGACAAACTTTGTACACAGCAGAACAAGGTAATCACATCAAAGAACCAGATAAGCACAACAAGTGTTTACAACCCACACCTTCCAACCTTATCTTTCCCATTTTGGCATCATCAAAAACACACACAACAATGTTAGACATTAAGCACAGATACGCTATACCTTAACGGTAACTTTTGCCGTTAAGGTATAGAGCGGAGAATAAGCGCGTTATACCCCCTGACGATTTGACTGCCAGGTATAGCGCATAGAAATCAAGCGATATACCTATAGCGCATAGAATTAGCGCGCTATACCCCTGATTAAATAATCCCCTTCGTCTTCCCCGTAGACCAGAACTCCCTCCTCCCCTATTTTTTTACTTCCTTTCGATTTCGATTCTGGTCCTCCCCCCCCCCCCCACCCCTTGTCGTCTCTTAAAAAAAAATTGTGGGCCCCTCCCGTCACACAAAACGCTAAGAACGTAGGTCCCACATCGTAGTAGAGCATCGTATTATTGTGGTTTCACTATTTTGGACTCAAATTTTCAGCCAATTTACTATTCAAAAATACTAAATCTAGGTATTTTGATTTATTTTATGTCGAAACTTGTATAATAATGCATATTAGTTGATTTGAATGTGTTTCCATGTCGTTTTGTATTTTATTTGCGAAACTAGTATGTTATATTTATCCGGACTTAGATATTAGTGTTCTAAAAAAAATGTAAAATTGAGAAATAATTTTTTCTGTTAATATCTGGATTTAGATATTAGTGTTTCCATGTCGTTTTGTATTTTATTTGCAAAACTAGTATGTTATATGTATTTTTGTGAATGTTATGTGATTAAAATATATTTGTTGTTTATATTTAGTTTAGATTATTTATTAGCGTAGTAAAATGTAGAACCTTTTAGCGTAGTAAAATGTAGAGCCTTTTAGCGTAGTAAAGTGTAGAGTATTTTAGCGTAGAATCCCTGTAGTTTAAGTATCTCTTATACTGGTAGATGAAAATACAAACTTTGTACAATTAAATAATTAAAAATTAAGAATTTAAATTATAAAACAAACACACAAAATTATAAAAATATTGAATTTGACACACATAATTATTAATGATAGTTTGGTACTACTGGGCCTCAAATATCGAGTTTGGAACCCATAGGTATATATACTTTGTACAATTAAATAATTAAAAATTAAGAATTTAAATTATAAAACAAACACACAAAATTATAAAAATATTGAATTTGACATACATAATTATTAATGATAGTTTGGTGCTATTGGGCCTCAAATATCGAGCCTGGAACCCATAGGTATATATACTTTGTACAATTAAATAATTAAAAATTAAGAATTTAAATTATATAACAAACACACATAATTATTAATGATAGTTTGGTGCTACTGGGCCTCAAATATCGAGCCTGGAACCCATAGGTATATATAATTTGTTCAATTAAATAATTAAAAATTAATAATTTAATTATAAAACAAACACACTAAATGGTAAGACAATTGAAATTGACACACATAATTATTCATGATAGTTTGGTGCTACTAGGCCTCAAATATCGAGCCTGGAACCCAATAGATATATATACCCTGTCCATTTACAGATTAAACATACAATTAATGTTGTTTAATTTACAGTTGACGACATGGACGTGCCGCCTATACATCCCGGCCCTTATTCTCCTGAGCTATTAGTGCTACAGGGCGATCATAGGTCCGCCCATATATGGGACGGAGAGTTACTGTCCGAGACTCTCCGCGCTAGGAGAGTGGACGACCTGTGGGATTTTTTGAGGGATAGAGATCTCCATCCCCGTGTAGTCCAGCGCTTGCAGGATACAGGATTCTATAGGATTATTCAGATCGGGCGGATGCAGCTCGGCTGGGCTTTGATCACGGCGTTGATTGAGCGGTGGTGACCGGAGACGCACACTTTCCACCTGCCCATTGGCGAGGCCACCATCACGCTGCAGGACGTGGAGGTTTTATATGGCCTGCCCGTTGATGGCATGGCCGTTTCAGTGCCTATTTCTATGAGATCTATGTCACGTGCAGATTATTTGGACATGCTGCAGCTGCTCACGGGTTTCAGGCCACAGGACGAGACTGCATCGTCGGGGGCCAGTCGGATGAGTTTGACCCCTATTAGACAGTACCTAGAGGTACTCCACTCCGAGATCACAGGCGATACAGAGGAGCTACATATTACCCGGTATACGAGGTTGTTGTTGCTTCTTCTATTTGGGAGGGGGGGTCTTGTTCCCGAACACTTCGGGGAACCTAGTCAGCCTGAGATTTCTTCATCATATTCAGCTGCTAGATGAGTTACCCTATTACAGCTGGGGTGCTGCTGTTCTAGCCTACATATACATGCAGATGTGCCGGGCGAGCATGGGCACCCAGAGTGATGTTTATGGTTTTTTGCCGCTTCTACAGGTGACAACATATTCGAATAATCTGTTCATTAGTTTCAATTCTACCTAGTTAAAATTTATCTTAAACCTTACATCAACTTTGTATGTTAGGTTTGGGCCTGGGAGCGGTTCTTGTAGTTTCAGCCACCTCTACCACAATTACCTCCTAATGTAGCACCTCCGTTTCTCCCTCTAGCCAGGAGGTGGGTTCTCCGCCGTACACTTGCACGAGAGTATGATGCTCATCATAATCTCCCCCTCTGCAGGGATGTGTTGGATCTGCTGGAGGGCGCACAGGTAAATATGTACCTAAACTTACCTGGTGTAGATTAACTTAGTGTTGCGCATACTCACGTTTTGTGTTCTTATTTGATATTTCATTTGGACGCCATACAACGACGATTTGATAGCTGGCCTGCCAGATTATTGCTCGGCCGACCGACTGATTTGGAGCACTTTTGCCCCGCTCATATGCCTCGATATTGTGGAGCATCATGCCTCGGAGCGGGTACTTCGCCAGTTTGGCCGCCCGCAGTATATACCGAGGGGGCCTATATGGGAGCCTACACATTATGAGAGGGATGATCGTTCCAGGGCGGACGACGCATTTATAGCATGGGTAGCGGCGCAGATCCATACTTGGGACCAGCGATAACGGAAGATTCCGCCCCCACCTACACAGATCCAGGCGGTGGATATTCAGAGGTATATGTCCTGGTACCGCCACGTTACCCGACTTTTTATCGGGAACCCTATTCATCAGGCTGGCGGCCGGTACGTTCCATACGCCGGGCGACAGGAGGCCCTGGTATGTTTTCTGTTATTATTAATTATATAACTGTAACTTAGTGCAATATATGTAGTTTATATTTTATACGTTGTGTAAGCTATTGGACTACATACAGTCTATCAGATGGGACTGCAGATGCAGGATCATGTCGGCGATCCTGCGACCGCCTTGCAGGATTACGGTCGTCGATTTGTAGAGGTGGCTGCCCGGACACTGCAGCGAGCCCGAGAGGGTCAGCGTTTGGCACACATGCCTGATTATGTGGAGCCAGGGCAGTACGA